ACATGTCCATTAACAAACTATCATATATGTTAACACGAGTAGAGTTTAGTCTCAGACACGTTCACATGCATACCATACTATAACGATTTGTGCATATACACGTAGCGATATATGACTACGTGTATATACGTTTTCTTTTGACTTAATTGCGAATGATCGGTATGGTTTATTTCAGATATAGTTTAAATTTATTATCAAGTAATGAAACATAAATTAAATAAATTCTAATAATACTTTAGAGTTTTTTCTATTATGACCGGATATAGAGTTTTATTATATTGAAATTTTTTATTATAATGTTATTTATACGCGACATTGTTTATATATATATACAAATCTAGTGCGTGTATACGTTGATTGCTTCATCAAAGCTCTTGTATAAAGTTACTAACATCATCAAACAATCAAAATTGTTACTTTGATAGAGAGAATACACACATACTTTTAATAATCCGAATGCAATGAGTGTTGCTATTGTTTTGATGTTTCTCTCTCTCTCTCTCTCACTCTCTTTTGAGTGACAATATTGAATGATGACATTTACTAAGTAAATTGAAACATTCATTCGATCTTTTTTTCTATATACACACACACATATATATATACTATATATGGTGCACTCAACGTTCTTATTTGTATTTATTTGTCTCATGTACATGTCACACGTACCATGTTCGTTTCATGCTCTATCAATATCGATATATTGAGTTTTTTTCAGATAAGTAGCTTGACATTTTTACAGACGAATGGACAATTCTGTTTTAGTTGTTACCAATCGAGTTATTATTCTTCTAGGTAATTTAACAATTATTATCTTATTTGTTTTAAATATGTTAAGTAAAAGGATTTTCTTCTTATCTTACTAGAATAATATTAACTTTGACGGATGTGAAGAGAATTTTTTTTTCTATCTCTCTTTTATTTTTTTCAGTTAGATTTTCATAATTATCCGGAAAGCACGCAAAAAAGGATAGAGACAAGTAAATACTATGCGTGTGGAACGAGAGAGAAAAAAAAGATGGCAAGTAGTTGATTGAGAAGACAAAGACGGTGTGTGCATAATCAATGAAGTGCGTGCGTGCGTGTATTGACTATAATATGAATTTATCTCCTCATCGTTTATTCTCTCTCGCTTCTTTTGTTATTGTTGTCAATGTCTACTCATAGGTTTGATTCAGAAATTGAGACAGACAAAGAATATATTTGTTCGAAGTGAATACATGAAGGAAGAAGAAGAAACAGAAAAAACCCTAACAGGTATCCATTCAGCACTTTTACGGATGTGTATGTGTGTTAATTCCAAATATTATGATAAGAGAGCGAGAGAGAGAGAGAGAGAGAAAAAAGCGGTTTTCAAATAATCATTTAATGTGTGTTTCTCAGTGGTTATAGTCGACAACTATAAAGCATAGAAATAGGTGAGAATGAAAGAAAAAAAGAAGAAAAATAATGAGTTGAAATACGCAAAAAGACCATATATAATTATCATTAATGTTATCCAAATATTATTAACAACAAGATAACATACGAGAAAGTAAGGCATTCGTTAAATTAACATTTCTGGAATTTTATATAAAGTTTAGATAGACTAAACACATTCAATTATTAATCAAAATTCTTTTCTTTCTTTTTTTTTCTTTTTTAGTTTCTATAATTTTCAACAATTCGAATATAAAAAAATATTCAAGTATCGAAGAAAATGAAAGAATGAAATATTATATCTTCAAACAGCACTTTAACAATTGAAACACTTATAGATTTATTAATTTTTAAAATACATGCAAAAAGAAACCAGAATCTATTTATTATAGACTGAATCCTATTGAAATAAGAAAGAAGCAGAAAAAAAAGAGATCTACTACATAACTTTTTTTTGTTGTTTTTCTTCTGTGTGACTATCGATATAATCGATTGATCTATGAAGGAAAGAGAAAAAAAAATGAAGAGAAAAAGCCCGAGAAGAAAGCTTTCTTTTTGCTTCCTATTACTGAAAAATCATCTTGGAATGACAGAATGAAAAGAAGAGTAATGACGCACATCCACTATTACTACCGTCAGTTGCTGGTTTTTTTTTGTGTTATATGTGTACTAAAGAACAGCATTCCCTGTTACTCATATCTATGTAGAAAAAAAAAGAAATTACTATGCGCAGTAGTTTTGACATGAATGGATGATGTAAGAATACATGAATCAACGACATAAGAATGACACATAGTATAAATAAACCTTCTTTTTTTTTATTTTATTTTTAGATAAATAATAAATCATGGATGATCTATTTTATTGTATTCGTATAATGCAAATATCTACTGACAAATTACAATCAACGCGTAATACAGAAAGTCTTCGTCGTTCATCACTGATACGTTCAACATTTTTACAATCGCGTAAACATTTTTGTGATTTAATTCATTCACTTATTAAAATATCTTCAACAACAAATGCTCTTCTACCGGTTATTATAGAAAATGAAGAAAATAGAACAAAAATTCTACCATATCAATGTACAATAACATCACAAAAACGTAAATCATGTCATGTTGATGCTGTTAAACGTATACGTCTCACATCATCATCAACATCATCATCAAATGTTCCAAATCAAATAACATCAGATTAAAAAACAAAAAAAGAAAAACACAAATGAAAAAAAATATAGAACAAGTCATATTCCATTTATATGTCTATTAGATTGTTGTTTTTTTTTTATTACAAAATAACAAACAAGAAAAGAAAAATCAAATATTTTATGTATATTAATCATCGATAATATCATCTTAGATATAGATTAAATTCCAATTTATGCAAGATTAAAGTCAAAAATCTGTACAAAAAGAAAAACTTTTTTTTCCCGAGAATCTAAATCAATGAATTTTGTAATAATAATTTGTAACATATATTTAACGTATTGATGATAAAGGCAACATGACATTGTTTCATTGATTTCGAACTATACAAAGATTGAAAATAATTTTTGTTTTGTCGATATGAATCAATGTTACAAATCAAACAAATCGACTCATTCAATAATTCATCGATTATAGTCATATAAGATTAACATTACCGACTTGATCTTATTTCAAAGTCTTTTGTATCTTGATTATAATATTGATAATGACATTGATAATTCTAATTTTCTATTTCATAGATATACATATCAATATGAATTATTATGATCTTTAAAATATGTTACATATAGTATTGATATTATTTGATTTTAACTTCAATTCTTTTAATAATTAGATACAAAATATTATATAATAATAAATATATATTAATCTTTCTTTTCCAATTCAATTTTATTTGTAAAAATAATTTTTTTTATATAATCAACTAATTGTATGTAGAACTTATATCTTTTTTTGATTAGAATAACATTTTTAAATTTCATCATATTATAGGATTTGCCGGGGGATTAAAAGCTTTAAAAAAACTTTAGAAATAGAATTTAGATATAGACTGAAAAATCTTTTGAGTGTGGGTATATATCTAACAGTTATCCAAACAGATCTTTATAATATGAAATAATTCAAAAAATGTCAAACATTTTTATTATCGAAATATTTATCTTTGATTATCTACTGTATATTGGAAGATGCAAACATATTTTTCATATAAACACAAAATTTTTTTCCAAGAGACTTTTCTCAAGAGATTTTGATGTTGATCTCGTCCGCATTCCTATTTTCGGGGGAAAGCGGCAATTAGTCCTATGTTCGATCAAAACATGAATCTTTTATACGTCCCTTAAGTCTCAATATATACACATATGATTTAATCGTACATATCACAGCGTGAGGACGGCATGTAAAAAATGAAGATGTATCCTATGAAATGAATACGTAGACGATCTCATCGAAAAACGGTAACCGTATATCTACAATCATTTGTTGGTTTGATCGAAATGTTACGAAAAGATTAAAAAAATATTCATTTTGAAATAGTGAAAACTTCAAAATAAACAAAAACTATATGAATTATAGTAGATTTCTAAGCAATTACTGCTTGTTCTCGTGTAACACTTCTAGCATAACTAGAAGAGTTTGTTAACTATTCGTATTTGTATTCATATCTAATGTTCGTAATTCTTGAATAGATTGTTTATTATTTTCATTAATTTCTATAACACTTTTTAGCAATCCGCTACTGTATTTTGTATACAAATAAAAAGAGTTTCAACAAAGAAATAAAGTTTTCGACAATGAAAACTATAGATTTCAATTCTTTTTCGATTACGAATTATCGAAGAAAAAATTTGAAGTCGTTTGTATTAGTCCGACATCAACATTTAATAGAGTTTCTTTTTTTATTTGTGTGTAAAATATCTATACTGTTCATGATAATAATCAAAAGGGTAAATATTGGACAGAACACCGGACATTATTTAAAGAAAAAAGAAAAACAAAGAAAAAGAAACAAAAATAGACGAAGAATATTGGATTGATGATAACATAATCAATGCTATCATTGTACAAATATTGAACAAAGAAGTAATTTAAAACTAAGGCTTTACAAGCTCATTATGCGATGTTTTGTTTATTGATTAGTGAACGAGATTCGGTGAATAATTAGAATAAGAAAAACAAATAAATATGATGTGATATTATATGTCATTAATTGAGAACGATTAATCTTATTTTGTTGAGTATAGACAATTGTTTTCGTTGTTGATTGACCTAAAAGTTACAAGAAAATTTTATTATTTCATAAAAGAGTCTTTATTAGGCTTATGAAATCTCCATATTCAATGAACCGGAAGAATGTTTTCACAATAGCTACTTAACAGCTGTTCTCATGTGAACAAGGTCTAATGGCGTATTCTTTTCACATGAGTTGATTATCACTAAGGTTCTGACAGCAGCATTCCAGCACATCTTTTTTTGCAATTAAACTACATACTTCGAAATGAAGCAGTCATAAATCGTACGAATAGGACAAAATGAACTATTCAATAGCACTAACTCCTAGGACAAAAAAAAATGTTTGCCATCCATTCCTGTTTATATAGAAAAAACCAAAACATTTGAAATTAGTTCAGTTACTTGACCATGATCTATTATTATTTGTCTAGAATACATACGTGTAGTTTGTCCATCAATTTCTTTATAGATTTGTTCACTAAGTGATTCTTGATTTTCGATTTCATATGTTTCAAATAATGATGATGATTGAATATCATTATCAATAGTATCAACTTCATTATCATATTCAAAATTGGGTAAATGTTCAAAAAGCGGAGTTTTTTTCTTTGGTCGAAGTGAAATAATCACTTGTTGTACATGTGTCATCTTTTTTTTTAATTCATCAAGTTGATTATTTATTGATTGAGTAGTTAAATTTGATGCTATTTGTGAACTTGATTCCAACGGTGGAAGTGGCCATTGCATAAAACTTCTATATTAAAAAAAAGGAAAAGAAAAATTTTCAATTAAAATATGATATTGAAAATAAAAAAAAAAAAAAATTTATATGAGTCACCTTATAATTACTATGCAAAGACGTGAAAATACTTATATTAAAGTGGAATTTTTACTTAGAATCCTGTTTAATAATGTTTATATTAATACAATGTAATTTATGAAAGTCTTCTGAAGCCAATCAAATCTAACAATATTACTGCAGCATATCTAAGAAAAAGCATTAATTAGGTTTGAAACTCTTTATAGTGAACGCAAATTAGTGCTTCATTATTACGCATTAGAGATGTGCCACATACCTAAAAAATCAACTCATCAACAGGGAGAGACGAGTTTTGTGGAAAACTGTTTAAGTTCTACTTAGACAAGTACGACCGTAAAGGAACATGCTTCAAAACATACGGTGGTTAACATGCATGAGCAGTGTGGTTGTATATTTCTGTGTTGCCTACAAAAAAAGAAACACGATAATTTACGGTAATTAAAACGATTGCTTATTGTCCTCATGCAATCCGAAGATCATATTCGGTCACGGAAATATGTGATTGTAATGTTGAGCTACGCTAAACGTGAAAATGCGGTCATATAAAATGTCACACGGTTGTTTTCGAGCGTATACAGACTTCTTATTATTCATTCTCTATATACTGTCATAATCACTCATATTTATAGATTTAGTCCTGTTCTTAATAAAAAAAGATAATCTTGTATGAAAGAGAAGACAACCATAAAACCCCACGGGAAATAACGATTGCCCAGTGGCAGTGCGACATGACATAGCGGGTTGCGAATCTTTGCCACATATTATCTATTGCAAAAATTTTTATATTGGTTTATTTAGATTTATCATGGCGTGTTTTTTTGAACTTCTTAAAAGAATCGAAATAGCTTCTAAAATTTATTTACTATGAGATTTTATCATAAGCTTTTTAATTTATTCCAACAAAAGTATCAAATATCTTGGTAGGTATAGAATCAATACAGCTTTACAGAGGACTTTAACAAGTTGTCGTTAGAATTAAATTACTTTTATTTTCCTATATTTAGGAGTGCTATTTAGTCAAATGAAAGTTGAATATAAAGATAGATCTCAACCATATTGTACAATAATTAAAGATGGAAAAGTATAGTGATGTTTTAATCAATATCGTTACATTCTCTAACAAGTATTAATTTTGATTAGTATACTTCTCAGATATACAAAAAAGTAATTAGATATAAAAATCTAATTTTACAGTGAACACAAGGTTTTTTTGTCTAAAGTTAATCTGTGATTGCATGTGTTCTATTAATATAATGACTCTTACAAATAAATTACTTTAAAACCATACACATTTTTAATACTTCCACTCGGATAATCTACTTAATTTAAGTTATAATTCTTATGTATATAAACACTGTCTTATCAATAAATTTACCCAGGCGCATGCTGATCAATTTGTGTACATCGACTTGATTTGACAGCATAATTTGTATTAGAACAAATATTAGTCGTTATCTGTTGCGTAAGACTTGTATTCAGATTGGCAATTGATGATTGCAGTTGATCAAGCATAAAATGTAATGATACATTCCAATTTTTAACAAGTTCACGTCGTTCACTTGCTATTGGTGATAATGAAACAATAGCTTTAAAAGGTTTTTCATTTGAATTAGGACAAGCATTTTGTAATTGATGGTATGTTTGTCGAGTATTTGTTGCATTTACAACCATATCATATAGATAAATATGCAATTTTGAAAGACGTTCGACAGCCTACAAAAAAAAAAACAACATATTTTTTTTCCTTGAAAATAATATTCTTTTGTTAAATTATATTATACCTTTAGTTCGACAACAGATTCCTGAATTTGTTTAATAATATTTGCATAACCTTGAGCAATTATAGCGAAGGTAACATAAGGATTACTAGTTTCATTAAAACATGTTTTAATTACATATTGACAATCATTTTCACATAAAGATTCATTATTATTATTATTATTATCATAATTCATAGATGAAGATAATGATGATGGTTTATTAACACATATTGGACATAATGTTTCTCTTACATATCGTTGTAGACATTGATGGGAATTGAGTGTTACTGTTGTTTTTAATCGTTGAATATCAGTATCAATATAAATAAATAATGTTCGAAGAATTTCTATTAATGAAGTTGTACTTGTTAATGTATAAAGTAATTCACGTTGTGTAGGTAATGCTTCAATATCAAATGCTTTAGTTACAAGACATTTTTTAAAATTATCATCAAGTATTAAATCATCATTATTTGTCATAAATCGACGATAAGATGATATAATAAGTTGAGTAAATAAATTAACAGCTGATTTCGATACATCATCAACAGTTGATTGATGATCACCGAGAATATTAAATAAAGTTGATATTGAATGCTGAATATTTAAATGATATTCTTTTGTACCAAATAAAGTTTCTAGAGATGAAATTGTTATATGACGAAATTCTCTTATATATTCTTTTATTCGATCTTTTAATAATAATGATAAAAAAATGATTTTATTAATGAAATTAACATGAATATTAACTTACTATCAAGTTTTTTGTTTGATAATGAAAGAAATTGTGTTAATTGGTCTAATTTAGTATCAAATAAATTTTTAAGATCATTAGCAAGTGAGAATGCATAGGAATTAAATATTTCATTTGTACAACATGCTGGACCAGATCCAGTTTGACCGCAAGCATCTTTTTGAACTATGAAAATTAAATTAAATTTTATTTCAAATTAAATATCTAGAATATCTACGAAATTATAATTGTATATGAAACCATAAGAAATTTCTTTTATAGATATCGTATCAATGCTATATATTTTTCTAAGTTCAGATAAAGCTTTTAGAAGGTTTCATTAGGTAAAAAGTCAATAATTTTTATTGACTTTTTTTTTATGGCATTAATGCATTTTGAATAAACTCGGCATAAGTTATTGTTCTTTTTTTCTGTTGATTGCCATTTCTTTCAGCGAATTTCAAAGCGTTGACTAAATGTGGCAATGGAACCTCAATTGATCTGTCACATCACACCTTATGCCTTATCTTTCTTTCTTTCTTTTTTTTTTTTGATGTAGATTAACAACATACTATACGTGCATAGAATAAAAAACAAAGAAAAATAAGATATTTTCGTCCGAGAATTATTTTCGAATGCTAAGCAGATGGAAATCGATTAGGTTTTTAATATTTAATGTCTTTCAAACTCTCTGCTAGTATGAAACAAAAGAAAATCTACGAAAGACATTAATCAACTTTGACTTTTACGTTAATAAGATTTTCTATACAAATTACGAATTGTTTTTCAGTCATGTTACAGTAATTCCATGTGGAATTTTTCATCTAAAACTATGGAGATTGTTAGGTTTTGATGATAAAATATATTTATATATACTTAATCATCTTTCGTTAGTATTTTTACATTTTTGTTTTATCTGATTAAATATATATAAGAATAACAAACTTACCTTTATATTGAGTACTAGCAAGTTTTTCAGTCCATTTGATGTATGGTACAAGTCGTTTGTTTATCGAATAACATGGATGACGTTGGGCGAGATTTTCACGATAATTGTTAACGGCTATTACCAAATATAATGATGAAAGAAATAATAAAATACTTTTCCATAGAGAATATTTAATAAACATATTTGTTTTGAAGAAATTAAACTGTTAATATTCAATATATTAATACATCAATGTTATTGATTATATCGTAGCATCTTATTCATGATTAACGGATATCTATGTCAATGAGAAAACATAATCATAAAATATTAGAAATAAAAGTCAATTGGCGAACAAGTTGTTGTTTGTGAAAAACTATGCTGGAGGCACATGTACACGCGTCCCTCTCTCTCTCTCTCTGTTTTTTTTTTCTATATTACGACCTTCACTCACTCTGATCTTTTCGACCTATAGTGCTCCTTTTTTTTTTCTTTCTTTTCTTCTATTTTTTTCTTCTTTCCTATTTCTATAGCTCATGCATTTTTGTTTGTACTGATCAATCTAATCTTCTATTAATTTCCCTTTTTTTGATAATGATAGATAAAGACATCAAAAGCAAGAACTGTAATATGAGCCATTGATAAACAGGTTTCGCCATTTACATACCCTTATTTTTGTTTTTCAATACCTTTTTATAAACGATGAAAAACAAGATTAAAAAAGATTGACTCATAAAAGTGATTTTCGAATGATGATGCAATTATATATAACAGACAGTAACCTAAAACTATAGTATGCATCCATATTTAAAATTGTATAGCGTAGATCTTTTTTTATAACATGTGTAAGTTGTTCGTACACCTGCAATTGCACATATACAACTACCTCATGGTTCGCTTCTTGCAAGCATATNCAGACAGTAACCTAAAACTATAGTATGCATCCATATTTAAAATTGTATAGCGTAGATCTTTTTTTATAACATGTGTAAGTTGTTCGTACACGTGCAATTGCACATATACAAATACCTCATGGTTCACTTCTTACAAGCATATGTGTGCAATGGAATGTCGAGTGGTTATATTAAAGGAGGAGAAGAACAAAGAGAGAAAGAGAGCGAGAGATAGATTATTCAAATACAATGTGTCTTTCTTAAAAAATCAATTGTTACGCTTACGAGGGAACTGTTCGAAGTGTTTCATCGCTTTCGATCCTATATTTTGCCCAGAAGTAGCATATCTGTAGATTAGAAAAAGTCCAAGATGATATGGGCTCATGTTATGATGTGACTGAGATAGAGACGTTTTCCTGAAACCTTCCTGTAGGATTCTGGTTTACCAATAAAATCATATTTTCGAACTTTAATATAAAACTTTGACAATATCGAGGCTGCAACCTAGACTAGCCTATACAATGGATTATTGTAAGTTATCAACCCTATTGGTCTTCTAAAAAAGTGCTTTTTTAGACTAGGAAACTTTTTGTCGAAAATTGTTTTTTTTGTTTCTTTGGCAGAACATACAGTCATTTTTATTCATACGACATATACATATCAACATTTTCAATATAAAAATCTTCAAAATGATATTCGTTTACTTAAAATTCAATTTTCAAAAAACTGAAAAGACAATTGATTTCTGAACAAGTCGATATGTTCTATAATCTGAATACATACGAAAATAATTTCTGCAAAACATTTGTTAATCTAGAAAACCATTATATAAAGATCCAACAGGATTTCTCATGATCATATTCCGAATCAGCATGCTCGATAACCTATACTTCAGTCGCTTTCATTAAAAAAATAATTTATCAATTGAAAACATTTCTTTCTGAAATTATTTACCGATGTTAGGTAAGAAAAACAAAACATAGCATTTTGGCAGAATATTTGTCAATAACATAAAAATTTTCTCCTATAACTTGAGAAATGTCTTTTTTTAAACAAAATAGAATAACCCATCAGTACTATCGGCAATTTCTCTGTTGTTATTACTGAACAAATTCAGACGCGATTCTCTGCTTTAGTTTTTTTGCGTCTTGTCCTCCCTCCATCCTTTCCTCACCTTCGCATTACTGGCATCATCTGTTCTCTTCTCCCTCACTATTCACTGTCATCGGTGTTGTTGTGAGACGCACATTTGCGCACAACTACACACATACACACATATTTACTTTATTCTTCACAGATACCTTCCGGAATAACAGTAGCTTTATTTCTGTAATAACCTCACAACACATAATGTTTTACAAGCCGACAAACAAACCCATGTGTGTAGTTCTCATTTTTCTTTCTATATAATTCCTTTTTTTTTGATCTTCAAGGACATAAGTCACAGTGTGCACGATCGACAACGACAACGAAGAAAAATGTGAAGGACAAGAATTGTCTTTCTATTAACAATCTACGTAAACAGCAAGTAACAAAAAAAAACATGGTATCCTGTATACATGTCCAAATATTGATGAGACGTAACATGATAGAGAGCGAAGAAAATTTGCCATATAGGCACTTATATCAGTGAAAACATATGTATCCGTCCATTTGCAAGTGTTGATATTGTCATCAATGATCTAAGACTGTAACTCCTGTTGCTTTATAGATGATAATAATAAGAATAATACAAAACGAATAACAAGAAAACAGGTCATATTGAGATATATATATACATGTTCGATGTCTAAATGTTATGAAGTCCAAACAGCTTTATAGATTTACACAGAAAAAGAGAAAATAAAATAAAAATAAAAAGATAAAAACAGCAAATAATAAATTTATTCTTAAGTTTCTTCTCATCAATTGTAAAAAAAAAACACTTGACTTTCCAAGTATACTTCATATAGGCAATATCAAATATATACTTTCATTTTCTGTTTTTAAATTATATTCTAATAAATTATATAAATGTAGGACAAATAATAACCAAAAAAAACAACAAAGTACAGCGTTATTGTCGTTATCAGATAATGGGGTTTGTCAAATATTTTATCAGTGGCACGCGAACGTCATCTCTGTATTTGAGGGTAATGTACATCTTATCAATGTAAGTAAATATATTTATAAGAGACGTTGTTCATGAAAAGCACTTTCGTTCTTATTTAGAACTCATATGTTTACCTTGAAGCAATCATTTTTTTAATATATACTTCTAAGTATAGTCTATTGGATTCGAATAATAGAACAGCTGGTACCAAATAAGTCAATTAAAACGACAGATTTTATTTATATTTCTATAAAAAATATACATCCTTTACAAAGCTCTTACAGTTATTTTTTTATTCTTTTGTCTTCAAACAAACCACAAATAATACCCTTGAGATACGATTCGTATAAATTACTTTGTTCTCTCGGAAATCTACCTTTCTCTTTATTAGAAAATGCAATGAATAATGAGACACGCATCTGTATGTGTGTTTGACTATTAAAAACTGGAAATATGAGAAGTAAACGTAAACAATGGGTAAACGAGTACAATGGAAAAAAAAGTATGGCAAAGAATTCCAACGGAATTTGTCAGTCTATGGTTTTTCTTTTTTTCTTTCTTCGTCTTTTTTTCACAATATCATGATCGTGAATGAGTTAAACGAGAGACAACAAACATGCATCAGAACAGCAATGAGTGAACGAACAAACGAACGAACGAATAATAGATAATGCGCTTTAGGGTGAGAAAAAATATTATTAGAGAACATGAAATGTGATCATCTCTATGCCAGAAAAATAAAACAGAACAACATGTTGTATTGGTTAGATATCAATGATGAGAAAAATAAAGTATACGTACCAAACGTATGAGGAAAGTTGACAATCAATGTGATGAGACAGTCAGTACATGGCGTATGTATAGAAAGAAAGTTGACAGAATGATTTATTGACATAAGCTTGCGCGTCTGCTCTTTTAGAATTATAATGTTGATCTCAACAGCAGGTGACAATAGCTGTTGTATATAATGGCCATGAATCATTTGGATAGGACATTGAGGAGATATGAGAGAAAGAAAGTAATAGATTGTCGACATGAAGATGCATCAAAGAAAAAGAGCACAAATATATTGATGTGCTCCCCTTTTTTTTTCCTCTTAACAAACAAACGTAAAATAATCGATATACTTTATATAACTATTTACATATTCCCAGCTGAACAACCAGACAAAGAGAAGATAGGTCATCGTATGTTTATTCATATTTTGAATAAATACTACAGTCGTACTGTTATCATAAGATTAATTTATGTTTCTCGTGAGTGATTTATACATTTATTATACCGAAAATAATTTAGGTTACGTTTTTTTTTCTACATTCTTCTGTAATACAAACATATTCTTGTCTATTTTGGAATGTAACTTAATTTCTCTTGTTATTTTACTGATATCTATATACTCGTAAATGAATATTGTGCAACTATATATATATATATAACCTGAGATCACTTTGCTATCTGTTGATCATCCTTAAACATCATTATCTGTCATTCATATATTTAAATGAGCTAAAAATCACCTTGAATATACATTTATGTACGTATATTTATATAATTGGTTAGCAATATAATAAAATGAATTAACAACAATATACAAAGTAAATAACGGCAAAAAAAGAACTCGGTCACGATACATTGGTATCATCAATTTGCACATTGTAAATGGCTTCTAATGAGCCATACATTTCTGTTTTATATTAGATAGTGCTAGATGACAAATCGACAGTGACATTACTGTGAACAGTGCTCGATCGATATTGCCTCATCAATATGTTTTGTTCTCATTCTTTGTATGTTGTCGATGTCGATTAACACTAGCTATTCATCAAAAAAAAAGAACGAACTTGAAAGAAATACATTATGAGTATAAGTAATAAAATCAAGCGAGATTAGCGAAGAACAATATTCTAGTTATGACAAATGATCATGTCGCCTCACGGTCAAGTTATATAGAAACAAAAAGCAAATGAAAAGTGGCTTCTAATAAATGAGAATACTTCAGAATAAATGTCCCTGTGGTATTATAGTTGTGTTTGATTGATATCTTATTCAAGATTTATCATGATTACATATGAGGTAAAGTCATCAGTAGACATTTCGAATGAAAAGACTTTTGATTATTATATTAAAATGTTTTTACTAGACAAAGTTAATTAATAGTTGTATGTCAATATCTATTTATATATGAATCAAAAAGTGAATATCTCTTGTACTATTTAT